TTTGAATACGCCTGTGTCAATTTTGTTGAAATATTTACAGATTGAAAACTTGAAACTTAAAGGGTTAAAAGTGGTCTTAAATGGTCTGAGGTTGATGAAATCATGGATCAAAACTTTTTTTTCCCTCTTTTCAGATTTTGACATTAGGCATATTTGGAAATGTGCAAAATGCAACTTCCTTTGTTTGGCAGCTGTAGCAACACACCTTATAAAGTGCAGCCTTTTCGAAACCCAAAAGCAACATCAACTTGTATCTGACTCAACGTAGACCGTTCCTAGTCAGATTCTCAGTACAATCCATTAGGTGTTGTATTAACCAGCATGCAGCCAGACTTTTGAATACATTGGTTTTTTTTTCTTACATACATGACAATAGTGGAATACATTGTTTTTTGTTTGCTCATTTTCTTTTGCTCTTTCGCTTGCCTGTCTCCCTCCCTCCCTCCCTCCCTCCCTCCCTTCCTTCCTTCCTTCCTTCCTTCCTTCCTTCCTTCTTTTCTTTTTCAGCTACAAGCATTGAAATAAAACCAGCAACTTCCCAGATGGTAGGTAAGAACCAAATCTCTCGTTCTTGTAGGTCATGTCAGCCTTCTTATTCAGTTCCTTTCTTTAATGGAGGGCATTTGTGCTCCAGGGTGGTGGTGATTTCTTTTGAGTGTCAGTTGGTCTCAGTGGCTCCTGGCTATTGTCTTGAGGTTAGTGGAAGAAGCAGGTGTGTACTCTGGGTGGGTATATAGGAGTCTATTTTCCAGGGTGTTTTTGTTTTCCTGAAGACTTCTCAAAGAGCAAGAAAATGTTTGCCAAAATAATTCACTGTTCCACTCACTGATTCCAACTCATGCATAATCCACCCTCTACTTTTATACCCTAAACTCCTTGATTGCCCTTTTTCCACTTCCATATATTGTTTTTTGTGTTATCTCTATTAACCCTAGCTGCAGTCCATTCTGTGCATGAGGAAGAGACTCTGAAAGGTTGAATTAGGTTAACAGCTAGGAAGTGGAGGATCAGATTATTAAATTTATGTCTCTCTGGCCATAGAAGCCCATGTTTTTTTCTCCACAGTACTCAGAGGTCTGGGTATATACTAAAAATGAATATTTCTTGTTTTTTAAGCATACAAAGAATCATACTGCGTTGCCAAATAGCCAGAGAAATAAACAAAACACACTGTTTTCTGACTACTCTGGAAGCTTGGATATGGAAATGCCTAAGTGTGAACCATCTCCATCCATTTCTGTCTGCTGCCTGGGAGACTCGTCAAACAGCAGAGATTCAGTTCTCAGTTGAAGGGTGGGATGGGAGGTGTAGTGTGGTCTCTTTAGATTGGAACAAAAATGTGTTGCTGGTTGCCAGTCTTAAAGAAGGAGTCCTAGTGATCCAGCGTGTTATGGCACATGCTCAGCTGTTTGCCAACACTGAGCTACTGCATGAAATAACTTTATCTTTTAGCTCTACTAGATTCTCCAGCTTAAGTGAATTGAAAGTCTAAAGCATTGATTCTCAGCCAAGAATCTGTAATCATGTTTAATCAAATAATGTTAAGTAAAAAATACATTTTTAATTATGGAAAGGGAAAGGGACATTGGTGGAGAGGATAAGTGAGGATAGAAGGGAGGATGGATGTGCTTAAGATGCAGTATATTGCATGTATGGAAATGTCACAGTGAAACTCCTTAACTTGTACAGTTAATATGTGTTCATAATAAGAAACAAAGTAAACAACCAAAAGGCCATTTTAGAGTTTCTATATTGTATCATACTTTTTTAAGAGATTCAAATTCCCATGTGTGATGCTTTAAAAAAAAATGGAAAAAACAAAAACAATTTGGATTTCAATCCAATGTAGTCAGGTAATCTCCTCTTCTGCTTTCTTTACTTTTCTTTCTTTTCTTCCTGAACTTCTCCAGTTAGGGGAAAGAAGGTAAGGACAAGAAGCATCTGAGATGCCTAATAAGAGTGTTTAGTGGAAGAAAGAACTGTTAATGGAGTGGGTGGGCATGGGATGGAGAGACTCTTGAAAAAATTCATGTTCACCGCTCATCACTGTGGGAAAACAGAAACTTCTTAAAAGATTATTTCACATATAAATTCTTCCAGCTGTTTTTCAATTATTTGTCTTTGATGAAGTGTCTTTAAATTCTACTGTAAGCAGCAATTAAGTGTTCACTTACCTGAAAAATATGTCACCCCGCCTGTACTGTTCTTATGAGTGTTAATCATCTTTCCTGCTGGCTTTGATAGTTTCCCAATTTCAAACGTTAGTGTTTGTTATATTATCTTTCAAAATGTTTGGAATTCTACAGGAAGGCACTGTTAGAAACAGTTTCCTCTGTGGGAATAGTCTAAAGACCTACTTGAATAAATCATAGCCTAGCTAGGCCAGACCCTGCAAATGATTGCTACACATGACTTACATTTTCATTTTTCAAATATTAATTAAGGACCTTCTGGGTTATAGGTATAGTATGGGGGCATCCCCAAAATGAAAACCAGTTTGTCCCTCATCTCATGGGACTCCTGATATAATGGGAAAGATTATTTTTTCTTCATAATGAGACAGTCTTTGCCCCTATTCACTTAATTACAACAACTAAAAATTATTTTTATGGCTTCTGGAAAAGTTGGTGAACTACATCTAGCTACTTTTGAAGTGCAGTTACGTACTTTTCCCCGCCACTGTAGCACACGGTCAACATTCCTTCAATATTAAAAATCTTAATAAAAATGATATGAGAAAAGAATTTTGGAATAAGCTCAGTGGCTGGATAGTGTCCAGATTGGATTCAGGAGCTTTCCGAGTGCTGTGATACCCAAGTCCTGCTGGTGGGACTCGTTTCCTGGAAAGCTTGCTCAACATGCATGCCGTTCTAAAAAAGAACCAGAATAGGACATCCTGCAGGTGGGATCTCCTCGGTGATCCATGCGGGAGAGGAAAAGATACAAAGTCAACACTGAAGATATCATTATCATAAACTTGGTTTTTAAAAAACTAGTGGGATTGTTTCTCTCTCAAGAACATTAGGTGTACAAACTAAGGAATGTTAATCCTCAGTGACTTTTAAATAGTTTCCTATTTAATTTGAACAGGTTATTTCCACCTTTTAAGCAAATTTATGAAAATAGCCTAAAATTATGAAACCCTGGAACAATTTTACCCCCAATTTTTTACTCATAATTGGGAGACTTTTGCGCCATTCATGTCAGGGGAACTACTCTCTTGGAGTTACCTACACTCCTCTGCCCGCATTACCTGCTGTGAGTCTAGGTTGGAATGAGGGTTGCTTCACTAGTGTCATCCTCCATCACTGACCATAAGCTCCCTAAGGGCAGAGATCAGCTCCACATAGAACCTTCTTTACAATGGTTGCTCAGTAAATTGATTGTGACTGAAATGCTTCCATTCCATAGTAGGCACATTTTTCTACATGGGCATCTTTTTATAGACTTCCTCCTCCTCTTCCTTGCCTTATCTGAAACCTGGCTGTCCTTGGTAGTAGCACAGCTTCTCTGATAAAGCTGTTTAATGGAGGCTCTGTGGTCCTTTGCCCCTTATACCACAGGCACCATTGACGTTGCCCCAGCTTCCCAGTGCCATTTTCTACCATCTTGTTCCAGGACTGTGCACACCTTCATTTGAAGTACATCCCATCCTGCCAAGTATTCTTGCTACCATCTCCAGACTACCATCTCATCTTCCTATGCACCAGATGAGATTCAGGCTTACCCTCTCCACCTCATCTTCCTATTACTCAAAGAAACTCAGTCTCCCTGTGGCTGGTCTGGCATTCTGGCTGGTGCAGTACTGTAGCCCTTCTGTCTCATCTTCACCCTCTCCACCCCTGAGGCTCCTTCTCCTCATCCCATAAACATTCTTGAGTGTCCTTCACACTTTGTGAATTTTAAACAAACAGCAAACAGAACCTTTTCTTATACTGGATCAAACTCAATGCCAAAAAAAGTTCAAGGTTCCTTATTGCGCAAAGCCCACTTGCTCCTAAATGTAATTGTTTCTCTGAGAATTTACCCCTGGCCCTCAACAGCTGCTTTTGTTTGGAAGATTCCACCAAACTTCACTCCAACTTTTTGCTAGTGTGTCAGTAATGAATTTCTGACTGTCTGTTGGACCTCTTCCCTTGGATGTCCTGCCAACACCTGAAGTTCATAATGTCTAAACACGATCTGAAGGTCTTTCCTCCAAGTCTTCTTTCCTCCTGACATCCCACTCCACCCCTGTGGAAGCTCAGGCCATGGAGTCCTCTGTGACTTCTCCAGGCAGTTCCTCGGACTCTTTCTCTGCAATGTCCCTTGGATCCATTCATCACTTTCAGCCCTTTTCCACTGCTCCTCTCCAAGTTCAGATGCCTGGGATGTTGCAGTCACCTCTTAATCGAACTACAAGTATATAAATCTGGGTGCCTTGGGAACACCACATGACAAATTGACATAAATTCTTCTCTGTGGAATCTATCTCCCGGCATCCTGCTTTCCATTGTATATGCTGCACATTTCACCTCTGCCCTGGGGAGAGAGTCCAGAGTGCTACATGTGGCCACCTCTTTGTAGAACCAGGCATGAGGACTTGGTGTGACTGCCAGGGAACTGTTGGACATGCAGACAGGGTCAGTCATGTTATATGTAGATTCTCAGGGCCCTTACTTTTCCACCAGCCTTTTGACGAAAGACATTGGTTCAGATTTAATGTGTTACTTTTTAATAATATTTCTGTTACTTTCATCCTCCTTAGGAATTTTTTTTTGTCATTTTGTCAGAAGCAAAAATTTAGTCACTTACTTAAAAAATCACGATGATTTTATTGGATTTTATTTTACAATTATATGGAAGGCCTGCTGGCCCCTCTCCTGTGGTTCCATTCACCTGTGCACAGGCTCAGCACAGGCAGGGCGATCATTATCCTAATACGGGTGGATCGCAATCCTTTTTTACTTGGCTAACTGTCCACTAGAGTTACATATGGACTTTTCTTCCTTTTCACGCAGCGCACCCTCTACATACCCTGGACTCTGAGAGTCGCCTCAAGGAGATGACTAGCCTTCAAGGGAAGCGAGGTAGAGGTCGGTGGGTTCCTTAGTTTTTCTCTCTTTCATGTGCTTCCTGTCCTTCCTAAGCAGAGCTATCGCTGTCTTTGTGGAGAGAACCCTTGGCTCCTCGTGAAAGCAGCGCTCTTCAGAACTTCAAATACTGTCATTGTCACTAAAATTTATTTTTCATTGTAAAGTGACCCTTTTCCTACTCAATCGGAGTTCCTTGAACCCTCTAACGTGAGTGACTTTACTTAATCTGTTAAATATTCTGTGGCAGGTCTAGGGGATATTGTTCGTGTCAGTGAATCAGGATGTCATACAGCTGCACAAACATACTTATTCTGCAGGCCTTTTGGCCACAAGTTTAAACTCTGGAATTCTCTGTCAGTACTTGCAGGCAGATGGAAGTCTTTAGTAGCTTCTCCCCTTTGGGGGTTTAGAAAGAATGACTGCCTGTGTTAGAAAAACAAGTTTAAAAATTGATGGTATCAAACTTCTAAAATTAATACTATGGTAAATAAAGATTCTATACAATCAAAGGTAAATATAAAGTGAACAGAATAGTCTGCCTACAACCAGCATGTAATTAACTGTGTTAACACTGATTGCTGTAGAGAGCAAAAAAGTACCTGCCCTAGTTTGGATTAGTGCAAACAAGTGGTTCTGGGTAGAAATGAATTATTGTTCATTAGGGTTTCTGTCTTGCCTTCTCTTAAAATATACTCTCATCCATAACCCTTCTCCCTATTTTATACAAAGGACACTCTGGAAGCAAGCTGCTGAGTTTAAATCCCACTTACCAGCTGTGTAACCCTGGGCAAGTTGCTTGCTCTCTCTGAACTTCAATTTCCTCATCTACAAGATGGGGCTACATTAATAGCACTTACATCACAGAGTTGTAGTGATGATTAATGAGGCAATACTCATGAAGTCCTCAGAACAGGTCTTCCTGTGATCTGTAAGATTGATATACTCAGCACAAAACAATGTGAAGAATCATTGAATTGTTAAAGTTGGAAAGGCTCCTGGAGATTATTTAACCTAGTCTCCTAATTTCAGCATTGAAAAATTAGGGTCCTTGCTCAAGGTCACGGGGCTAGTTAAGTAGCAGCGTTGGATCTAGGATCCAGCTCTCTTCTTGGCTGTCCCTTAACCATCCCAGTTGGGTGGTCAAAATCCAGAATAATAACCCAGATTTACTGCCTGTGCAGATTGTGCAATGTCTCCTTCACTTTCTGTTTTACAGTCTTACTGTTAGAGCCATGAGGAGGTACTCCTAGTTCACCAGGAACTGAACTATCATATTCCAGTGAAGACAGCCTGGTAGAGGGGGACAGTACCCTGATTAGGAATCAGGTGACCTGGACTTTCCTTTTTGCCATGAGCTAACTCTTTGGGAAGCCATGTGGCCCTTTTGTGGCTTGGTTTTCTCCTCTATAGGGCCTTTATACATAGAATCAGACAATATGGAACTCCTAGGTTAAACGTGGTTGTAGTTCCCATCGCGGGTAACATTGAAATCGAGTGCTTTGGGAAATTACATTGCTCAGAACTGATATGCAGAGTAAGACTATAGGTAAAACTGTCACTATTTACTCAAAATAAACTTCTTCTCCATCTTTAGTCTTGCTTCTAATTTTGTACCACTTCAGGGAAACCTCAAAAGCAGGTGTCAAGGTAAATGAGCTTTTCCAGAAACCTGGTAAGGGAAAGGAGATATTATTTTCATTTTCCAGGTAAGGACAGTAGTAATGATGTCCTTGCTCAAGAAAAGTCATGCAGAAGGCTCATTATTTTCAAGTTCTCTGTCTTCTGAGGTCTTGCTCAGACAGCGTTTTGATTTTGTAACTGGGTAGCTTTGCTTTGAAATGCTCACGTACTAAGATTAAGCTCCATAGATGAATCTCACAGTCCATGAAAGAAAGACACCAAAGGGTATGTTGTGTGATTCCACTAACTGAAAGTTCAAGGAAAGGTGAAACAAATCTGTGATGATGGAAGTGGTTGTGGGATGAGGGAATGGAGGGAAGCAAGTGGGACTCGACTGGGGAATAGCACAAGGAAGATTTTTGGAGCCTGGGAATGGTGTGTGCCTTGCTCTGGATAGGGACTGCAAATGAAGAATCATTGTGTGTGTGATACTATATGTATCATGCATATTGTACGTTATACCTCAAAAATGTCTATCTATATGTTATATTTCAAAAAATTTTGGGGGAAAAATGCTGCATAGTATTAGTATAGTTTAGTTTTTAATCTTCCTTGTGGTACTGGGAATGGAACCCAGAGGCACTCTACCATTGAGCCACATCCCCAGCCCTTTTTATTTTATTTTGAGACTGAGTCTCACTAAATTGCATGGGCTGGCCTTGGACGCGCAATCCTCCTGCCTCAGCCTCCCAAGTTGCTGTGCGGATTGTGCAATGTCTCCTTCACTTTCTGTTTTATAGTCTTACTGTTAGAGCGATGAGGAGGTACTCATCGCTAGCCTGTAGAACAGTGGTGCAGAGGGCCATTTTATTTTATTTATTTATCTTTATGTGGTGCTGAGGATCGAACCCAGGGCCTTGCACATGCTAGGCGAGCACTCTACCACTGAGCCACAACTTCAGCCCACAGAGGGCCATTTTAGAGACAGACAGATGTGAGTTCTAATCCAAGCTCTGTCATCCACTGCACCTGGCTCATAGTGCTGGTTTTAATGACAGTGTACTGATCTTATTTGAGTTCTCTTTAGAGAACTTCATAGTTTCTCTCAAGTTTAGAAGGGTCAGAAATTGGTAAATTGGGACTCAAGTATGAAAGCAGCCTTAGAAGAGGAGTCTTCCTTTAGGGAGAGTAAAATCCGTTCATCATACACTGTTACAGTAATGTTTCTCACATCCTATTACATTTCTTTAAATTTAATTTAACTTCTGGTTTGCATTCTGTTCTTTTATTCTTGAGAATTTAAAAAGAGAGTAGCTAAATAATTTTTAAATGTTAACCATGATTGTTACCTTAATGCTAATTATTTTTTAAGGAAATATCTAGTGATTAAAAGTAATTTTTTGGATTAGCTAAGATCATTTCTATTTCTAAAATTCTATTATTCTCAGAGTTTTAAGAGGTAGTATACATTTATATAGAGAAAGTTAAAAAGTTCCTTTTAGAGCATTTCACATTTGACCATTTCACATGTACAAGGACATGACTTTATAATTAGTTTGTTTCTTTTTTCCATAAATATATGTCATGTGCCGATTCTGAGCAGAGCACTATGATAATGAGAAAGTGCTTCTTGGCATTACTTTAAAAGGTCAGTCATACTTGGTCTGTTCCCCTGTGGGCTGTCCCCTCCTTAATTTCCACCTGGAAGTCTTCCTCATCTCCATGGCTCGAGTTCATGGCTCTCAGTCCCTGGGAAATATTCTTGGGACACCCAGCCAGAGTTCACTGCTTCCTCCTGGGAGCTAGCTACTCTGCTTCCACCTCTGTTCTTGGCTCACATCAGTGACCACTGGTCACATCTGCTTCCCTGATCACACTGAAGGAGCTCAGGGAGAGAATCGTGCTTGGCTGTTCCTGTGATCTTCCTGGATCTTGCACAACAAGCCACAGCCCCAAGTTGTCAAAGCTAGCCTGGAGAACAGTGGTGCAGAGGGCCATTTTATTTTATTTATTAATCTTTATGTGGTGCTGAGGATCGACCCACGGCCTTGCACGTGCTAGGCGAGGACTCTATCACTGAGCCACAACTCCAGCCTACAGAGGGCCATTTTAGAGACAGACAGATGTGAGTTCTAATCCAAGCTCTGCCACTTGATTCAGTGTGCCACTGGAGGAAGATACCTCGTCATTATCTACTCAATAAATCTTTAATCTTTCTCATTGTAGAAATGCTACCTATCTCAAAGGTATTGTAAAAATTCGCATGAGCTAATGATTCAGGTAAAGTACTTTGTCCAGTTCCTGGTACATAAGAAATACTAAAAACAACAACAACAACAAAAAAAAAAAAAACATGAGCCACTATTAATTCTGCAATAATAAAGTGCTCCTAACTTTAACTCTTGGGAGACAATGAAACCTGGATGAGTCAATGAATAGCTCATTAGTAGGTGCTGCTCACTAGCCTTCCAAGCAAAGCTTAAGTCATGGAGTTTCTGTTCCTGCATCTTCCCACTCTCTTCACATCCCTGGGAGTTGAGGGATAACAAGGATGAGCTGGGAAATGCATTCTCAATAGGTCTGCAATAAACACTTAACTCCTTTAAATTGGATTTTTTTTTTTTTTTTTGGTGGTACTGGGGATTGAACCAGGGATACTCTTCCACTAAGCCACATTCCCAGCCCTTTTAGTTTTTTTTTTGTTTTTTTGAGATAAGGTCTCACTAAGTTACTGAGGCTGGCCTGGAACTTGCCATCCACCTGCCTCAACCTCCTGAGTTGCTGGGATTACTGGCGTGCATCACTGTACCCTCCTTAAATGGTCCCAAGTAAAATTTTATTATTGAAAAGAGTTCAACTTCAATTATGTAGAAATAAAGTATAGGGAGCCTTTTTATTCCCAGATTTGTCATTCTTTGTCAGCACTCCACGAGAACATGATGTTAATCCCTGTGCGTGTGTGTGTGTGTGTGTGTGTGTGATCTCCGCTCTCTGGTGTGGTCTCATAACTGTAGCTGAATACTTCCTAATGTTGCAACTGGGCCCATTGTCTGCCCTTTGCAAGATGTTGAATATCCCTTAACTTTATTTGGGTTTATCACATGCTAGAAAGTGTTGAAATAGAAATATGATGACCTGTAAATGTTCTCTTCATGATGAGCTACTGGGAACTGAAAGTATTCATAAAAGCAGTTTTGGAGGGAAAGCCAGGCAGCCCTGAAACATGGTACTTTCCCAAACTCCCTTGAGCAGAAATCTTTACTCTGAGCACCCTTCAGGTCTCTTAGAGCAGTAGTCCATTGACTCCCAAGAATCTGCTAAATCTTCATGCTCCTTCCAATACATGCCGGCTGATACCAAATTTTACAATAGAAACTCTC